TGGAAGCTGAGGCCAAGAAACTTGCTGAAGAAAGGAAGCGACAAACAATTAAAGTATTTGGTTTTTCATTCATCATGTTAGTTATAACTAGAACAGAAGAATCATTGGCAGTTAGCCCTGACATAAAACATAGTGTAAAGTAAAGTCCCCCTTTCAGACCTTGTAGTCTATAGGGCAGGTGATGTAAAGGTCATATGTTTCTGTGGCCTACGCTTAACGAGGTGTCACATGGCCAACACAACGACCAACCGCCTTTACTTTTCCTTAACGGATGTCAGCTTCCCATTAGAGCTGGGTGGACTTAGAGGCACCCTAAGATCCCAAAATTAAAAATCCCAGGATTTGGACCCCTGTTCAGAAGCCAAGCGCTTTACCGCTAACTATAACAGATGAACCACTAGGCAGTTAGCCTTGACATAAACCATAGTGCGACAGGTTACAATTGTATATATTTGATCTACTGTATAGATCGATGAAGAAGAAGAAGATCTACAGTGCTCTATAAATATTCATTCAGTGTTTGACTCATATTTTGGTCACTGATTTGGCTTCACTATACCTTTATACACTTTGATCTATGAAGATAGGGTTTATTCTATATGAATTGAGCACTTTGGATATTAGACATAAATGTACATTTTTTTGTAATGCATTTAAAATTCGATAAAAGTTTTACAACCTAAATTTGAAGTATATTGAAAGTTAGAAACACAAGTCTCACTTGAGCTTTGAAACTTTTTTGTTGTTGCTGTGTTGTTAATTGTTATCTGATTCTGTCAAAATATTTGATTAATGATCATCATTAAACTCCATTTGAGTGAGGGCTTGAGAGGCTCAAATCCTCTTTTGCAAAAACCCTAGACAGAAACCTTGCTGTTTTGTCAAGATAGAGATCAGCAAGTCTGGGCAGTCAAAAAGAATATGAGATACAGTTTCCTCTTCTTCCCCGCAGTGGGGGGAACCGTGAGTCAAAATTAGGCCATAGCCATGAGAATATGAGCCAATAGGACAGTGGCCTGTCCTGCACTGTGCTATAATAGCTTGTTGAGGCCTGGACAGACTCCACCAGGGGGTAAATGCAGTCAGGGGGCCTCATGCGCTCCCAAACTCCACTGGCCTTTTTTTGGGACTTGTCCCAGCACTCAAACCACTTATGATTTATGATACCAATAGTTACTCTATGTTGTTCTTATTCTAGGCTTAACAGTTAGCCAGCAGACACAGAATTAATATGGAACATACTGACTTTTTTTTTTTTTCTTTCTGCAGATGGCAAACCAGGACATGAAGAGGGAACTGGAGGAGGAGAAAGGTCTTCAGGATGCATGCGACGGTGTTGACTCTGATGATGGCAATGACGAAGAAGAGTACGAACTGTGGAAAGTGAGAGAGCTGAAACGTATTAAGCGAGACAGAGAGGAACGAGAAGCGTAAGTTATACGGATAAAAACACGATAAATTATTTCAGTTGATTGTTTAATTTTGGAGGAGCGCTGGCTGAGTGATATAGTGCCTGGCTTCTGAACTAGAAGGTCCTTGGTTCAAATCCTGATGAAGACTGTTATTTTTAATTTCGGGATTTTAAGGGTGCCCCTCAGTTCACCCAGCTCTAATGGATTAGTCGGGGAAAAGTAAAGATTGTTGGTCGTTGTGCTAGCCACATGACATCCTTGTTAACCACGGACCACAGAAACAGATGACCTTTCCATCCCTGTGCAAGGCATGGTTTGAAAGGGGAACTTTAATTACTTTCAATAAAAGTGGAAAAGTGCAAACTAATGTCTTCGTAGGACAAAGAACTTGGGTTTGTTAAGGGATTAATGAATGGATAAAACTTACTATTACATATTATATGTTAGTTACTCTTATATTAGAGGCAATTGCTTTTTCGTTAGCATTTAGAAAGTAAAATGACTTGTTCTCATGCTTTAAGAATCGACAAAGAAAAGATGGAGGTTGATCGATTAAGAAATATGACAGAAGAAGAAAGGAGGCAAGAACTTCGACAGAATCCTAAACAAGTCACTAACAAAGCTCCAAAGGGAAAATACAAATTTTTGCAGAAATATTACCATCGTGGTGCTTTCTTTTTGGTAATGCTATTTTTATTTTATTAATGCAAATATTTATATGTAAATGTAGCCTTGCATATTAAATCTATGTATGTATTTTAAACATGCTTCATTATAGTGTTTGTCATGACCGTGAAAACGCAGCAATAGTCTTGAAGTTTCTAATTAAACTAAAGGCCTTGATAGTGTCTTGAATTTTGACAAAGAATAGTTTTTTTTAGTAAGATTTCCCTAGATTTTTTTTATTATTTGGCCAGAGATGAGCGCAATCTTTGCTTTGATCACACTCAAGCAATGAGTAGTTAGGAGCTTTCGCTCTAATTTCTTATTTTATTGCTGGCGACTCTTCTTTGCCTTGTATCTTGAAAACCAGCACTCATAACTCTGAGCTATGTGATAATAAGCAAGCTTTTTCCAATCTTCCATATCGCTATTGTGTCTCTTGAGGGAGCTCTTGAGAATATCTATGTATTTCTTGTTAACAAACTTATTTTTGGTCTTAACATACATGCATCTTTGTGTTCTCTTTCAATTTAACATAAATTTCTTAAAACCCTGTTTAGTAATGCCATATAACTTATGTTATCTTATCTTATATAATACAGATGTTACTTCAAAAAAGAAGATGATTACGTCCTACGTGTCATGCATCTAGTCATGCATATTAACCAATGACTTAAATTCTGCCAAGTCACTGGTTTTCCTGGCTAGATCAGGCAACCCATTCCATGCTCTAATAGCACTAGGGAAGAAGGAGAATTTGTACAAATTTGTCCTAGCATATGGGACTAGGAATGTGCCTTTATTGTCAGTTATTATTAGTGAACAGTAAATTTAAATTATGCTCTAATAAATACAATCATGACTTATTTCAGGACAATGAAGATAATGTTTTCAAGCAAGATTTCTCACAGCCAACACTGGACGATCACTTTGATAAAACAATATTGCCTAAAGTCATGCAGGTCAGTGAATTGCCAGGTTTATTTGGTTTGTTAACCTTCATGCCAAATATTTTGGTTTCGTATCAATGTTTAGGCGATTTCAAAGTTAATGCTGCCCAGTTTTTGTGTAGATCTCATGTTGCAATCATCATCAAACAGCATTTGACTGAGGGCTTGACAGGCTCAAATACAAGCTCTAGTTTATCCACTCATATGTATTACAAATCTGTAAAGAATAAAGCACTGAATTTACCTTCACCTATCCCTTAGTCTGATAAACTGTTGTGCGACTACAAATGATCTAACGACTGTCTTTCTCCATTCCTCTCTGAATTTTGCCATGGATAAAATCTCTTTCAGTGACCGACCTATCCATTTTTATGTTGTCTGCCTCTTTTCTTTTTCCTGGTGCTGTTCCATGAAGGAAGGTCTTTGTGATTTGGCCATAAAGTTTTAGTTTGCATTTTTTTTTACAGTGGTTGGCAGGTCATCGTGGACCCAGTTTTGACCAACCTATCCATTTTTTATGTTGTTTGCCTCTTTTCTTTTTCCTGGTGCTGTCCCATGAAGGAAGGTCTTTGTGATTTAGCCATAAAGTTTTAGTTTGCATTTTTTTTTACAGTGGTTGGCAGGTCATCATGGACCCAATTGCCATTATGATCCTGTTTCTAAACTCTTCGTTTGAGATGATGTCTTTATATGTGATACCTAATATCCTTCTATAGCATTTCAATTCCATATCTAGGATTCTCCTCTTTAGTTCTGCAACTGACATCCTAGATTTATGTGGCTATGACCAAGAAGTGCATCAGTCTAATTTTAGTGTCGAGGACTTTGCCTTTCTTGATGGTTTTGCAAGTGTAAATCCTGGCCAGTAATTCAGGTTTGGCTCTTTCATCTGAGACAATAGCTCAATAGTGCAAGTAATTCTTCTTCCATTACTCTTTCAAGGAAAATATTGAAAAGACCAGTGGGCCTAGGGGGTATCTGGGAGAAGGTTTATGTGCTGCCCTTAGGTGCTTAGCAAACTCAAGTCGGGATTGGAACTCGAGCCTCCTTGTTAGATGTCCAATGCTACCCAAGTGGTTTTGTTTAGTAGAATCTAACATTGTTTTTTCCTTATATAGTATTTTTGAGTGTAGTGTTTCCCCTATCATTGTTGTGAGAGTCTCCACATGGAATTTCCTGAACTATTTTTAGCTGTACTAGAAAGAAGAATACACAAGTAAATCTTCCATTGTCACTGGTTACGTCTATGCTGTCTTGATTCATGATAGGTATTTTACTTAAACTTTTATAGATGGTGTGCATATAACCATCCATCTCAGAGGCACTACAGCACAACTTTCAGATCTCCCCTGAGTTATTTGTCTTCATGCCTCTATTGTCATTGTTGTGGTCTGTCTTTGGTTAGCCAGCCTTTTGTTCTTGTTTTTTTTTCTGGTATACTATTTTCTCTTCTGTATTCCCTGACATTCTTTTATTTATTTTAAGGCGACCTCTTTTTTTTCCCTTATTTCTGTCACTATAGGAGAACTTTATATAACTGGTATATCTCCTTGTTTCATTTGTATAACACCATGAATTTTTCTAAGAATTTTCTTTTCCCAAGTATGTAACAGATTTTCTCTTTTTTTTCCATACATTTGAGTTTTCTTTTTTAATTCTTTGATATTTTTTTATTTTTTTTTACAGGTAAAGAATTTTGGTCGATCTGGTAGAACTAAGTACACTCACTTATTGGACCAAGACACAACACAGCACGAAGCACCATGGATGCAAGACACAGCCCAGAATCTAAAGTTTCACACAGCCAAAGGTGGGGGCATGAAGCAGCTATTTGACAGACCATCAACCAAAGGGAAAAAATAAATGTTGATGTATGTTTGAAATGTGTGCAGATGAATGAATGTCCTAGTATGTATATATGATGTTAATGATATGAAATGATCAGCTCTTAATGTACCATGTTATTATTCATAACAATTACAATTTTAACCTTTTTTTTCCCTTCATTTTCTGGTTTCTTTTATTTTGAATTTCTTGAAAATTAAAAAAAAAAGGAACCTGTTTAAAATTCTTACTTGTTTCCTTCTGTGGTTGCTTCCCCTTTGAGATTGTAACATTGGAATGTGTTTCATGTCACCAGCAGAGAAATCCTCTGCCCAATGGGCACTCAGGCCCGTCTAATGAAGTTGTTACTGAATGCTGCATGAGGTTTGTGGGTCATGTCTAGTCAAATTGAAACACTTTCTCCAAAACATCAATAAAATGGAGGTGAAATAAAAATGTCCATGGGATGTCTACATAAAACATGGCGTTTCACCTTCATTGATGACCTAAAAGCAGTGGCCGCTAGTTGGAAATAAGCTGTAAACATTGGTGGCAACTGATCTCTGTGAAGGCAGCATGCCCTCTTTTGGGACAGGAGGACCTAGGTCTATGTAAGTCATTAAGACATTGAATTCTAGTTGTGGAGCCAATGGTCAATTCATGCTGGGAGGTCAAGATTTTTAGTTCTGAATTTTGTCTCTCTCTACATGACATGGTGGGGAAAGTCAAGTCAGTAGATTATTTTGCTGTGTGCTCACTGTCCACAGAAACAGCAACATGTGCCTCAAAATTATTTGTAAAAAGGAATTTTTTATATTTGCTACAATTGTAACTGTTTAAGATTATTTTTCTAGTAAGATAACAAGATATAATTGATCATTTTTTGTCTACACTCCATGAATATTTAGCAACCTAAGCTTAAGTTTTCATTACTTAAAATTATTTAATCTATCTTCACTTATTGTATTAGAAGCTATTAGTTCTTGACACCTTATTGTCAAAAAAGAAGATAATTACGTCCAACAAATACAATGTGGGCTTATCTAACTGCAGCTAATTCAACTTGTAGATTCTATATAAACCTCTAACTTGTTTTAAATTTAGGTCTGAGATGAATAAAAATTGTTAATACTCTAAATTAGAGTCAAAGTACTTTCACTTAAGATGCTTATCTTATTTTTTCCACAACTGATTCTTTCCTTCAAACTACTCTCACAAGATTACTAGCCCAGATATGCTGGTGATGTCAGCAAGTCCAGTGCATTTTGAAACCAGGACCGTTAAAACAACCTTCTGGAGCCCAAACCACACAACCAGGCAGGCTTTTAACTGCAAAGTAATCTCATATTTTCAGTTACACAGGGACTTGAAGAGTTCCCCCAAATAAAACATTTTATTGAACACAAACAAACAAATGTGTAAATTTCAATCCTTAACTTTAATTATCAAAACTTTACATCAGATAACCAATTTAAAAATTCAGACAAATTAACCTACACATGATCTGCTGTAAGAAACATATTTAAAAATTGATAAGAGTGAACAATGCAGATCACAAATGAACGTTCTTTAACAGTGACACAAAGTTCTACAAAGAATTCCAATACAAAGTGAATATGTTTGTAACTAGAATGGATTTAAGGCACTTTTTATATTCTTTGCCATTTTATATTAAAATTACATAATAACATTTAGGTACAGATATACAGATGGTGCAAATAGCATTAAAAGTTTTTTGATTAGATTAGGAATATTTTAAAATGAAAGCAAGTTGAAGATTTGATTTCAGAGACATGCTAACCCAGTGCTCCCCAACCATTCAGTAGATTCTGTCCCCTATCTCAAATACATTCTACCAATGGCTGAACACCACTGAACTAACCATCACAGATGTGTCAACAATGAGAGTCCATTCAACAAAGCTCACACTGGGCTATTATCAAAACATCTTTAGCCAGGTTAAGTACAGTTCACTATGACCACAACAGCCTTCACGTTCCTTAACACATCAAGAACCATTTTCAACAGGGTGGGAATCAGGAACAACCAACACAAAACCAAGTAAATACCCAGGATACAAACTTAGGACCATCAGCTCAGAAGCTAAGCATTTACTACAGTATAGGGGCATTGGCATGGAACAATTACTTTCGAAAGAAAATGCATTATTTTTAATGTTATATATCAAATGTACAAAAAGTTGAAAATGTGGTGTTTCAATGACCATAAAATTTGAACAAGTGGAGCTTACACAAACCCAGGTCAAAATGACCAAAAAAAACTAAGAATAGAACATATAATGTGGTGTTGGGTTGGGCAAGTTTAAATGACATTTATTTCAAGACAGTATCATAACAAAACATACTCATAATGATCCCTATGTCAAAGAAAACTTGAGGCTGGAGAACACAGAAATAAAAAAATATCCATTACATAAACCTTTCAAATTAAAACAACTTGACCCACAAACTCAGTTTCTCCATAAACACATGAGATAATTTGTTGAAAATAGTTAAAAAAAAAAAAAAAAACCAGAAGAAGAAAAAAAAATCTTTTTATTCAAGCTTAGTGATCCACTTTTCTGAGGTCAAGGCCAGTAAGGTGGTTATGTGACCAGCACAACAACCTGCTCTAAAAGTTAATCTCTCAGAAATGAGTTACCCATTTAAGCTGGCTGAGCATAATCAGGGTATGGATTTATGAAAGTTAAACACTTAACTACATAGCCACATGTATTGGAAAACCACAGGGCACTGAAGAAAAAACCAAGGCTTCACAACAAAACATAATAAACTAAAATCCATAAAATATATATATAAAAAAATGTATTCCTCAAGTTTGCATCAGCACCTGTATGTAACTAAATCTCTGGACACACAAAGACAGAAATAAAAGCAATAGCTAAATTATTTGTTCACATGCATCTGAACACAGTCTGGTGGGGGAAAACAATATCAAAGCTTACGCAACACAAAATACGAATCGAATGCTATCAAGCTGCTGTATATGTGGAACAACTTAGTGGTTTAGTCATTAAATGCAATTTTCTGGATCTGATCAGGCACACCAAAAAAAACCTACAGGAGTGCCACCTTACCATCAACTTTATAATAAATCTGTTTTAAAGACAAAGAATATAGCATAGATTTGTTGAAGCAATAAGACATTGTAACAAAAGACTTCAAAAATGGAGCAAAATTAAAGGTTAATACAAATAAATCAAATGCTGACAACAATCAAGAAAACCAAAGAAAAAGCCAAGCATCAATAGCTGTACGTTTAACAGTCTAGAACTTTTCTTTGGTGCAAGGCTTAAAGCGAACAACAAATCTTTCATACAAACACTCTCAAGCCATTAGTTCCAAGCTCACATCAAATAATTGTGAACATTCTGTAAGAACATTTAGCTATAAGTACTTTTATCATATAATACAAGTGAAAAGGCGAAAAACAAAATGTACATTATAAAATTTGTTCTGTCACATACATAATATACAAAGAATTTCATGTAATGAATTTTGTTGGTTTAAAAAGGCACTTTTTTTTTTGTTGCTTCAGTTGCATTTTTTAGGAACATTATTACAAAATATATACATCGGGCTCAAATAATCTACATGAATAACAGCATTTGTACAGAGAAAGAAACTAGAAATAGGAACAACTAAAACCTACCATCTCATACAAAGCGGTATAATATGAAACAAAAGTACTTTCTAAGTATATCCTTCAGATGGGTGGATTTAAACAAAAAAGATATAGTGAACTTGTTCATTTTTTTAAGGTAATCAAAAAAACAAAAAATTCCCCAAATAGTTGAGCCTATTGAAACATTCAAAAGGACAAAACAAAAAAATACTGACCAAAAACAGGTAACGTGATACAAAAGTGTAAAAAGTTTTGAAAAATTATGAACTGTGGCCCCTTAAGTAAGTTACCTTTTGAAGTGTTATAAATATTTTGAATGATCAATTTTGTACATCCTCATGAAAGACACAGTCAATGAAGAAATCCTCCCAATTTGAGAGCTGTATGCACAACACAAAAAAGCTGGACCATCATTTGCTATCTCATCAGTTATCTTCATCGTCGTCACTGGCATCCTGAAACATGGCCAGGAGGTTCTTGGGCTCAATTCCAGGCTTGGGCTCGTCCCAGTCCATTTTGGCAATGGAAGATATTGGAGGGGGAGTGCCTGAACGGTCATCCCCATCAGGGGAGCTGCGTGCCTCGCTGCTGAGAGGGGAAGGGTGGCCAGTTGATGGTGTACTGGGAGGACACTCAGTGAACAAAAGTCTGAAATAGTCAACAAAAGATTATCTTATAAATTTTATTTTCAAATGGCTGTATTTGTTTTGTTACAAGATAATGACAGTGCCTAATTCAGTACTAACAGTTACCAATCAATACACAAAGTTCATAATGAAAAAAAAAAATGATTAGAATCTTGTCAAGAGTATAATTACCAAGACCTTTCCAATTAAAAATAATAGTAAACTATTTTAAACATGAGCTCCTGAACTAGTGTTATTTAATTACATTCTGATACTCAAACACAAATATACTCATTAAAAAAAATTACCTTTTAATGGGCGACCCATTTAAAATTGAAGAAGCTGGTCGTCTACGAATAGATGGTGTTGTGTATGCACGTCTTGGTGGAGGGTTACTAAAAAAAAAATATATAATATTTTAGTGTCATATTCAACAACTGTTAAGAGAATCAAAGTAAACTATATTTCTAACTATTCAGCTTTCTAGTCAAGGAAAATCCAAAAACTTACTTTGGCATTAGGAACTCGTCTGAGGAATTGAGCAAATCTGAGTTGTTACGTGATCCGTGATCATCCATTATGTCATCTGGAAGTTGACAAGAGTAACGAAATTATTTTTTCAACGTATAATGAACAGTCTACCCACTATAAGCATAAAACTATTCCACTGTTTCTGTTCTCCTACAACAGCAGCAACCCAGTGTTACCCTAAATTTCTATTGGGAATTTTTGTTTTCAATGCATAAGCGCCATTTATTCTTCAATTAAATCCTGGAATTCAAGCTCTGTTTTTATAAACCCTGAAAATGTAATGCACAACCTTTACAATCTCTGAAATTGTAGGAAAGAACTGAACAACGACAATGACATTCTTGCTTGTGTACTGATCAAATGAAAGTATAAAAGATTTTTTTTTTTCATTCCTCTTGAAATAAATGAAGCTTTGAGTTGATGACATTCATTGGAGTGTACTTGTGACTAGCCTTGTAGATTTAGTTATGAATATTTAGACTTTAAGCGTAGATTCACTGCTAATACTTAGGATGCACAAGTTTCACCACTTAAGAACTTTTACAGTATTCTTCACCGAAGTCTTTAATCACTGATGCTTCTCTCTCAACACTAAGTTGGATTTTGATAATGTGGCAGTATCTTCCATGAATTATTCTAGTATAGTAACATTCTAAATTTCCATCTCATAAGCACAAAAAGATGAGGCCACAATCTTTCTGAACAATGTTAAAACGCAAACAATTTTGACATGAAGTGATGATGTAATACAATAACAAACTAGAATCCAATACCTCTGCTAAAAAAAAATGTGTACACATAATATATGTCTTCAATATTAGCACAAATTTGTCCTGCTTCATATGTCAAAGTCCATATTGGTATACCAAGAGATGCAATTTAACCATTTCACCACTAAGCAGTTGTAAGAAACTATCTACCCCATCCCTAAGAGAAGGGATATAACTCTGTATCAGCTATTTTAAAAAATCAATTCTTTGACTAAATTCACAGAAAAAAAGTAATAAAACCTAACAAAAACATTCTTTTTATAATAGAAAAAATAGACCTATGGTTAAGCATCATGTTTGAAGTCATAAATAGGCCTACAGAGCTCAAAAACATTAAAATATCACGTCATATTTAGTTGCCTTCCAATCTCCCATTTCACTAGATCTAACATATTCAATACTTGATCTAGCATCAATTTTTTATTTATTTTCACTACTATCGGTTTGAAATGGTTCTAAAACACTTACCCCAATCATTATATCCTTATTCTACAGCTTAAACATTAATATTCCCATTAAAATCTTATTCTATTAAAGCCTAAACATGTTCCATTTTCTAGGCTAGCAAAAAAAACCCCCCCAAAAAAACACGTAATTTTCAAAAAATAAAAATCATTTCTAACATGCTCCAGAGACAAAATAAACACCTAAAAATAGCATCACTATCGCTCTTTTAGGTCAGAGTTAGTAAAGGTATAAATAGTTATTTAAAAACTAGCAGTGCGTGCGTAAATGAAACAACCCAAAATCTGCGATTGCCGGCGACTCTAGTTGTCAAAGGGTTAATTGCAATTTTTTATTTAAAAATTTGCTTTTTTCAAATTCTGAAT